AGAAGAATCCATAAAAAATAGATATAGACCTAACAATAAAAGATGTAGCAATGCGAGAGAGAAACATTTATGAAGCAGCTGCGTATACTTCCTTAAACAAACATGACTCATTATTTAAATATCTCCCTTGGTAATTTCTTTTCGGTACTACTTGCTCTATTTAAAAATTTTGAAGATTTTAATTCAAATATTTTGACTCGGTTTGTTTTAAATGGCCTAACAATGACTGCAGTTTCTAAAAGTGCAAGAAAATAAAATGAAAGTTTTTGAAGGTATGAAGTTGGTGACTCCCCAATTGTTATTCACAGTCCCCATTAGGTGCCCATCAAGGTCATCGATGGCCCACTGGCCGAGTGTCACTTCAACCCAAAGGTTACCGATGTAAGGTTTGCTGTAAGTTTAGATAAATATTTAATTTGATTTTACACTGGAGCTGCTACAATGCTGAATTCAAATGAAAGGAATAACGTAAAGATTGTGAATAAATACCTAGTATTATTGAGCGTTTCAGAACATTTCCAATCAATTAATGCTTCAGAATATCAATAAAGATTTTAAATCATTTTCACGATTCTAGATGTTTTTTGTTGGACCTAAAAAGAGCTTATAAGCAGATGAATGGAGCAAACATTTAAAACATGCAATTTTGCTACAGATTCTGCTTCTAACAGGGGAACATGCTGCCCGTATTGGTGCTTTCGCAGCTTACCTAAATGAAACATAAAAGGGAGGCACTCACTTAGAGCAGTGCTTCCCAGTCTTTTTCACGTCACGACACACATCACAAACATAAACAATTTCACGACGTATTTCTCAAGCATCAACAGTTTCACTACGTAATTCGCAAGCATAAACAATTTCAATACACACAATAAAAGAACGCTTTTTATTAACTTGATTAATTTTGTCTATTTCATGCCAGGGATTCAATTAATAAGATCTTTCTTTCAGATATTTTTGCTTTATACAAACATTGGAATTAGATATTAGTTTCAGGTAAGTGTTCTTATACAGAGATAAACATGTATATTCTCCCTTTCACTTGCAGACGAATGCCTGTTAATGCGCCTTCCTTATTTTAAGTTGCCTTGCCCTGTGTTCGGTGACTCTTCGCATTTTGCGTGTCCTGATGTACCCGCCGAGGTCATGTTGCTGATATCTGCACAGATCATAAGATGACCTGGATCCCTCACGTGCAGGATCTCAAACTCCGGACGGCAGCCATAACCAAACAAATGAAACTCTTTTATGGTCACAAATGGGGGCTTAACCCCCATATTCAAAAGGTATTGTACACGACAGTCATCGAGATGATAGTGACGTATGCTGCCGCAGTATGGGCCTACCCAATGCAAGGAAGGAAGGTCAGACATCTTAACAGCATACAACGACCATTCGCATTGGAAATCACACGGGCCTACCGCACCACCTCTACCGATGCCATTAACGTACTTGCTGGTCTCCTTCCCCTGCACATCCGGGTTGAGGAGGAGGCAGCACGCCAACACATTTTGCAACTTAAGAAGGCAGTTACTTTTGATGATGAAACATACTACCCGGATGAGTACGAAACAAACTTCTGCCCTCTTGACGTCCACCCGGCAGAGAAAGGCAAAGGGATACTTATCTCAATTAATCCCACTGCAAACTCATCACTCAAGGGGAAATGACCATCTATACAGACGGGTCTAGATTGGACGAAAGAGTGGGATGCGCCTATGTCGCCACGAAACAAGACAACGCAATCGAGAAATGGAAAGCGACAGTTAAGACAACATAACAGTGTCGTTCAAAGCGAAGCAGCAGTGGCAATTGCACAAGCGATTCGCTACCTGCACTCGCACCAGCATAGCCATGTCACCATTAAAAACGGACAGCTTATCATCGTTATATGCCATTTGGAATGCAGATCATCCCTCGGAGATTATACAGGGAATCCAGAGAGATCTTAGAAGTAACCCCCAGTACCGCACAAAAATTAGAGTGGATAAAGGCTCATGTTGGCCACTATGGCAATGAACTTGCCGACCAAACTCGCCAAAGAGGCAACAACTGACCCGCCTGATGCACCAATTATCATCCCATGGCCGCATTCGTATTTAAAGAAGACACTACGCCTAAGGGCTACTGGCATGTGGCAGAACGAATGGGACCAAAGCACCACAGGGAGAAGGACCCACTACTTCATCGGCTATGTGGACACTAGCCGAAATGTAGCGCGAACGCACAGTTGGTAAGGTTCATTTCCGGGCATGGGCCCTACCCGGAATATTTCTTCAAGCGTGGCATAAGTCACACAAGTCAATGTGCATGCGGCGACTCAGGCTCACCAGAGCACTATCTAACGTCATGCCCATTAACAGAAGGACTGCATATCAATCTCCCTGAAACAAATCGCCAGCCGTTCTGTAAATATATGATAAAAACAGCGGCACTTTATTAAAAAGCTGGTACAGTTGATGGACAGACTGTCCGACTTAGATACAGACTTGTGTCAGCCATAGAACAACCCAGCATGTAAAAACAAACTTAAGCATTTTAAAAAGGACATGTATTGCAATGTAGGAAAACTGTCATTCAAGTGAATTGTAAGAAACTATAATGTAGACTAGAAACTCACAGTATAAAGATTGCCTGTATTGATACCTGGAAAGTCAGTTGCATTTAACAATGTGCATGTACTGTGTAAATAAATTTCGGCAAATTATACCGTAAGACCATATATAATGAACCGATATATAATGTAGGCATAACGAATGTATGAAAGTGCATATATCTGTAAGCAAAGTAATGTAAGGGAGTGTAATATATGTAAATATTTTTGTGTATCAGTAAGCTATGTATAAGTAAGTTATGCAATTTAAAGTAATGCAATATAAATGCAGAAATGTCTTATAAAAATGCATGGGTAACATATATGTTTTGTATTATGAATAAGGGATATAGGATGTCTAACGTAAAGCAATGTATGTATTGGAATGTCTATTTCATGTACTGGAAAATTATGCAATAAGTACCCATATAACATGTAATGTAAGTAACCTGTAATAAGACTATTATGTTTGTAAATATTTGTATCTAAAAAATTAATCAGAATGTATCTGCATGTATCTATATGCAACTGCAAGTATATGTAACCTAAGTTTTAAGCAGTTTGTAGGTAAAATTAAGTAATATGTGAAGCAGGCGTGCCTGACTATGTATGTATATAAAAATAATGTAACGCAAGGCACATGTAATATTGGCATATGTAACTGTACATGCAAACTGTTTATTTATATGCAATCTACAAGTAATGTAGGTATATTTATTGAAATGTACAGCTAAAAACTGTAACTGTACACAAAAGTAATCCAACGCAATGTAAGATTAATGTAATTCAGGTAATGCATATGCATTGTATGCCGGAAATGAGAGACAAAGTCAGTATGTAACTCTGTAAATCACGTTATCCATAGAATATGTTAACCAGCAAACAAGAATGTAATACTAAATATTAACAGCCCTTGTATGGCCATGTAATTGCTCTTTTGAAAGACTCAAGGTTCAACTCTAGATATTGGTGGACGTGGCGCTACACCAATTAACCGACGGTAAAGGGGTGGTGCCCACGTCCCCCGTCGCATGTCGCATGTCGCATGATATCTGCACATGCATCATCTATCTACTGAGCCTGTTTTTCATTCCAAACCCTTTTCAACCTGTACGGTGCGATTGCACTTCAACGTAAAACTAACGCGACTGGCCTAAGAGCGAAAGTTGGATTTTTCTGGTTACAACTCTCTTGTAGTTAATACGAGTAAAAGGGAGATGATCCGGGTCTCGATCGGCAACGCAATCCTCCGCTACCATCGCCCCACAATGAGGAATTAGCTGTTAAATTTTTAGCGACACATCGATCGGGAAGCACTAACTTATACGATTTTCAGTATAGACCAAAGCTGACATCTCACGAATATTTTTCAGCAGAAAGTAAATTCCACTATTCAGGGAATGTCAAGACATTTCACTTTAATTTTGTTTTCTTCGATCATATCATATTTATTAAATAAAATATGACTCGATATAAACGGATTTATATCTTCACATCCTTAAACATTTACAGAAAAGACAAGTAAAATTCAGAAGACATATTTGAAATTGCTCGTTGTGTCCTTCCTCCTTCATTTTTTGTTTTACTTTCTTTTCTTTAAAACATCTCATTGCTCATAAAGACTGTGACGATAATTCCAATCTGAAAAGCGATATTAAGAAAACGTAAGCATGACGGTTGTTTCACTTGAATTATTCATGTACCAGAAACAGTTTTAGTTGAGTGTTAAAAATTTCTGAACATGTGAGTTAGCATTAACTTTCTAAAAATGTTGTATGCATTTTAAAGTAATATCAAGAAGAAAACCTTTGCTTTTTTTTAAATTGTTAGTGACATTTTTACAAATGTAGTTTTCAACATGAAACTGTGAGTAAACGGATTGCCTCGCAAACCCATCATATTTTTGTTTCATTAAATTACATTCAAATTCTGTCTAACTTAGAATAATTTGTTTAACTGAGATTAATGCCTGTTTTTATTAATTATTTTTAATCAACTGTCAATATGTAAAGAAAACTATAAGCTAGAAATACTTGAGGAGGCAGCTTGCTGAAGCTGAATGGTATGTAAGTTCGACGAACAGACTGCAGGTTTTAAATTAACTACGGATTAACGCATTTTATGAGACAAAATAGTGTCACCCCTCGTTATAGAAAAGATAGTTAATGTTTAGCAGAGAATAATTAAAATAAAGCCAAAAACCCTCTATAATTTATTTAGTTAGTATAATGTGTTAACCACCTATAATTGTAACGTTCGTTTGCTACGCCAGCTCGTTAGCCCATGAATGGGTTCATTCGTACTAACGTAGAGGAAAACATATTTTAATTGATAAAATGCATGCATTACGAGTATTTTAAGGTACGCTCAGTGATAAATATTGCTTTAAATATTCTGATAGTGATACCTGCAAACAGCCAGCAGTTGGAGACGAGTTGCAGGGAAAGCCAAGTCGTTGCTTTGCGTTACAGACATCAATGATTGGAGACATCTGTGAAACTCCCCCAATGTGCATCCAGGATCCGTAGTAAATGCCATCACTGTAAGGGAAAAAAATAAATAAAAGAATTCTATAGCGGTTTTCATATGCTGCTCTCTTATTCAGAACAGATATGTATTACTGTGAATGACCGGAATTGGAGAATGTCGACATTCATCGGTGAATGTCAACACGTACCAAATACGTCTGTGAAAGAACGAATATTTCATTATATTCTTGTACATTCGGGCCATCACGATGTATGTCGACAATAACAGATATACTGTGGTGGAGATCGAAGAGAGAAAACGAGGTCAACAGAGGGGCAACAGTCTGTCGCCAAATCCTTTGTTCCGCTACGATTGAAGTTATGTGGCATGTATTTGTTATACTCTGAAACACTTATGCAAGGTTTGATGGCACGCTCAACGTTTTCTTAAATTTTGTTTTTTTTTTATCCGATACCCTAATTTATATTGAATGGCTACTGCAGTGAATCGTGAACTTTTCTTTGAAAAGTTAAATGCATTAATTGTGAGTATACGAGAAGGCAATTGTATTTATTTTTCACAAGAAAAGTACTCTAAAATACTTTCTGAAGTGATTTCTGCAAAAACTAAGTGCAGCACACCTTTGGCTTATAGAGTATTAAAACGTTTTGACGTTTTAAAAATTAATGATGAAGAAAAATTAATTTTACCCTTAAAACCAGTAGAAACGAATATCCAATATTATGTTACTAATGATGAATTGTTAAGCATACTATTTGAAACTCACACTAGACTAGGCCACGGAGGAAGAACACGTATGCTTAAAGATTTACAAGGTAAATACAGAAGTATTACATATGAAGTTGTAATGCTGTATTTAAATTTACATAAACAATATCAAATGAAGCACAGTGTACCTAAGAAAGTTATTGTTGTGAAGCCAATGATCAGTTCTGAGTTAAACTTAAGATGTCAAGTTGATCTTATAGACGTGAAGTGACACAGTAATGGCGAATATAAACTCATAATGGTGCATCAAGATCACTTAACTAAGTTTGTCCAGCTACGACCGCTGAAACCTAAGACAGCTGAAGAAGTAGCGTATCATCTTCTTCTAATATTGATTTTAACGTTTGGTGCTCCAGCTACATTGCATTCAGCTAGGTAGGGAATTCTGAAATCAAGTCATATCTGAACTATGCGCTATGTGGAACGATGATAAGATAGTTCATGGAAAGCCTCGTCATAGTCAAACACAAGGCTCAGTTGAAAGGGCTAATCAGGATATACATAATATGTTAACTGCATGGATGAACGATAACGATACAACTAAATGGTCAGATGGTTTGGTTTTTCTTCAATTTGCCAAGAACACTACATATCACGAAGGAATACGCGAAAGTCCTTATGAAGCCATATTTGGCATTAAACCAAGAAGAGGCATAGCATCGTCTTTTTTTCCTGGCGAACAAATCGAAAATATTAAAACCGAAGAACAATTCAAAGAAACTGCTAATACTTTTGAAACAGAAGAACAGCTTGAAGAAACTGTTAATACTTTTGAAGAAAATTTGAGCAGTGGCATGTTCCAAAATATATATGAAAGAGGACCTGCAACCTACTACTTCTTCATATCAAGCCCTGACTGAACACGAGTTTATTTCCAAAAAATATCGGCCGCGAAAGAGAATCTTCTTCTGCAAGCAACGAAAATATTACGAACCTCAAAAAAAAAATTTCTTCCTGCTCAAACTGGTGATACCGTACGAATACAAGTCCGTGATGTCGACCGTGGTCGTAGTGATGGCCGAAATGTGTCTGCAGTTGTTGTTGGAAGAGAAGACTCCGATTTTTATAAACTAGCAAATAAAACTGGCACCTTCAAGCAGCTTTATGCCCGTAATCAATTCGTAATTTGTAAAGAAAATTCACTTTCCATAGCTGAAATTTCTTCTCAAGAATTGTCGCTGAGAGAAGCAGCTGCAGCTAATTCGAAAAGTGGAGGGCAAGGCTATATACACTGTCATTGCGAAAGGAAGTGTTCCGCAACTAAATGCAGTTGCAAAAGCAAGAGATTCTTGTGAAATTCAAAATGTTATGTAAGTTAAGTTGTTGCAGTAAAAAAGATTTCAATCACATAATTAAGTTTTTTTGTATTATTTTCTTTTCTCATTTAGAATGTACTGTTTAAGTTAAAAAAATTATTTACACTTGCTGTTACTTAAGCGTTTTCGTATTTTGACATATACGGTGTAAATGCAAAAGTAAAAAAGCAAAAAAGTTCTTTATGGGCTTAATTTAAAACGAAATGTTTAACATTTATCCAAGCACAACTGCTGACATTATTAAGAAGGCAAGTAATATCAAGTAGCCCCTTTCACGTTAGAATCTAAAGCTACATGTCCCAGAGTGAAAACACCCGCACAGAGTTAAAGAACAACTCTCCTCACCGGGATTAGTTACTCCTCTTAGTATGACAGGCGAAGAAGTTAACATCACCTTTGTGAAGTTTTATCACGCCTGAAATACGGAAAACAAAATGCATATCTCCGACATATTCAACATTCACCATTAGTGCATGGTGAATGTAGATATTTGACGGGGGAAATCAGAAATAAAAATATTTGACAAATATTTTGGACATACACCAAGTGACTATGTGAATGTTGACATTCACCGGTGAATGTCGACATTCTCCAACTTTCGGTCTTTCACAGCAATATATGTTTAAATAGATAAAAAATGCATTTATTCGACTCCGTTTCATACTTCTGATAAACATAGCTAATAATTATATCTAAATTGGCATACTTTCGAAGGTTTATTTTGGCAAGTGATTTTTTTTGTAACTGATAGCGTGGAGTCTTCATTTCCGCCTGCCAAGTTTAAATAGGGTAAAGTTTGAATTTGTGCTTTTACTACAACTGCTGCTTGTTCTTCCATCAGATGCTTTGAAAATTAATGTTACTAGTTATTTTGTTGTATAGTATTAGCTAGCGTTTTAATCCATTTTCATTGGATAAAAGGAATAGATTAATCAGACCTTTTTAAACTTTTATAGTAACTGCTAAAATTTTAAATCTCACCATTCATTATAACTGACGAGTTTTGAGCTGTCAGAATTGATCCACCGGACCTAAGTTTTAAGCAGCATAATAAAGAATTTTTAAATCTGAAATTAAATATTGCTTTCCTTGCTTTTCCATCAAATTATAAACGTTAAAACAAGGCATTAAAGATTAATGATATTCTCTTATTCTGTTTAGAAGTATAGGATTAAGTAGGGCGGAAGAAATCCTCTTTTTGAATAGTAAGAGCCATTATCATAAACTCAGTGGAAAGTTCCTGTTTGACAACTAATGGATAATTAAAAGTTAGAAACTGTAAAGTATAGTATTTAATCGAGTTTTTACACTAAATGAAAAAATAAAATTGTTTCACAAATTTCTTGGGTGTTTAATTTTTTTATTCTTTTTTGAAGTAGAGATCCTTAATGTATTTATACAATTTCGGTTGCATTTTATTTCAGCTCCTGCAAGTACAATTTAGTTCGAGGCTTAAGTATAACTAATGAAACAAAAGTTTATAAAATGATGTTTTAAGATTACGTTTTACAAATGCATTAAAAAGGTACAGGAAGAAGATCTGGAGAAGGGCATAAAATATATTTGAAACTTTCTATTTTCATAAGAATATAAACGTTTTTTAAGATTGTAAGGCAAGTCCTTATCTTTATCATCTTCATCATTACGGTTAGAAAGAAATAAAATTTAGTGACGTAGTTTCTCAAATTTACTGGAATAAAGTCATTAACATTTCACATTTAATTGTATTTAATATTTCTTTAACGATGTTTACGATAATGTAACGTGAAAATATGATAAAGAATTTCATAGAGCATTTCATGTATGGTATATATTTGCTCAATCTTTCAAACGTTCAAGAATTAAAACCTGACGTCTAAGTGGCATCCTGGATAAGATCTCTGAATTCCCGGATAGCGTGTTCCATAAACACTTCTTAGCTGATAAATGGTTTCGCTGAATAGCAGTTTCACAGTCAGCTCTATACGTAACTCAAGTAAAAGCCAACCTCTTTTAGGACGTTCATCTTGAAAGAAGTAGGCAGCCCTCGCATGCTTTGCATGATTCTGATGAATGAAGTACTAGCAACACATTATTAACATTTTATTGAACTGTATTATCTTCTTTCAATGTAACCACCAGTGAGGTTTGTCACTTTTCACACTTTTCAAATTTGTGGGAGCCATCGGATACCATTAGTGAGGTATTTTATTGAGTAAGATGATGAAAGGCATTATTGCACGCAACACTGATGGAATATCAGGAAACATGATGTAACTAAGAGGTTCTTTTAACTGTGGAAACTGCTCTTAATCAAAAGGGCCCGTGTCCGAGAAGTATGGAAGATGTTTTAAGACCACAACTTCTATCATTGTTACAAGTCGGTCATTGCTCCTAACACATAATAACTTGCATTTTCGCTCAAGATGTAGTGCGATTCTCCAGGAAACTTGGACGTTTGCGCCACGTAGCCATTTGGTAATATAATGCTTTTGACCCATGACTAATGACGATACCTTTACAGATGTAAGCTATTCTCAGCATAACCTTCTGCTTACTAGACAACATCAAATTTTCTTTGGACGCGACGACCTTTCATAACTACATAAGGTTTTGCAGCACGGGAGGACTTAAAAATCTGTCGGAATAAAACGAAATGAACAGCAACCGTCAGGTACAACAATTAGATACAAGCCATGGATCTGGTAGACGATTTCGAATTACCATTTAATGAATGGTACGAAGCGAGGACTTAAAGATGCAGAGTCTTCTCAAGAATTAAAACTTACCTCTTTCGAATGCTTTCAACACCGAAGAGAAGACTTTTCTTAATTTCTAAAAATTTCCTTTCTAGAGGGTTACTGGCAAGAGAAAAGGGGTATTAAACCCTCAGATTCTGTTCCCTTGGAAACCTTTGATCAAAACTAGGATCGAACTCCGACAGCCCTCTTGTTAAACAAATCATCCATATTTGCCAAGCTGGAATA